TTCAGCCGTCACTCCGGGACTTAAAACATTCTTATTTGTTGGAAAAATATATTCACGTACTTCAAATCGATTTTATTTCTTCTATGCTTACACGTAACCCATCTAAATTTGTTGTGTGAATTTATTGCGAAAAATATTACCTCAGCCAGCATTTGAACCTGTATCTTACCCAATCCATGACGAGCGTCTTTTCCAATTCGACCACTGAGGCGCGCCTTTGGAAAAAGTACACAAAATTCACACAGAATTATTATTATTGGGCTACGAAGAACCAGCTCCGACCGAAAACTGGCATATTATAATTATTCGTATTTAGACTCGTCCCGTTTCTCTTCACTTATTCTCCTTAAACTTATTTTAATATTATTTACCTAATATTGTGATTGGCGTTTGTATTATTTAATAAATCTAATTAATCACTTCATGGTCCGTTCTAAGGAAAATGAGCGATATTATCGGAAAAATAGCAGCGGACTTTCCACGGCTAAGCACATTCCGACTTTCACGCAAAGTGTCACATCTTCGAGCAGCGGTCGCGCGACGCACTCCCGATTAGTGGACGTATCTTATCCCACGTGCGACGTGCCCGCCTGGAGGAATCTGTGCATTATCGGAAACGAAATTCCGGAAAGTCTCCGTCCATAACGCATCGCGCACGTCTGAGAACCCGTAATTGCGTTCTCCGCGGCCGCGGTCGTCTCTCCTCCGCGAGTCGCGGCGGATCGCTAATCACGCTCGAGTTGCCGGGCGACACGGCGGAATATAATACCGTAAAAAATAATGGACGAGGCGAGAGCCGCGGCTCGTGTTTGATAAATTAGCATCGATGGCATTCGGTCCCGTTACGGTCGATATTTAATTGCCAATTAGAGGACGCAAAAGAGGCATTGCTGACGGGTGCTGGCTCGTTTTACCCGGCGCACTCGTGAAAGTCAAGCCTCGTAATGACCAGCCGCAAGATTTATAAACGAAATTAATTACGTACGTACCGCCTCCGCGTTAACAATGCCGCGTTTTTTTTTCCCCCTAACTCTTTCCCTCTTCCCTTTTATCTTCAGTCTCGTCGCTCGGCCCGTCCTTCCACGGCGGCGTATCTTGTTCCATCCGTCATTATCCATTCGCTTTCGCTGTCACATCAATTTCTCGTTTAATTTCACGATAACGTTCTCTAACTATTAAATATTGATAATTATTATTCTATTTATTCGCACCGCGAGGTCAAAGTGGGTCACGACAGGTAAATGACATTATAATTTATTGCATGTGCACTGGCAAATTAAGAGCAAGCAAATTTTAGCGTCTTATTAATCATCGCGTATCAATCCTGCAGTCGTCGCGCGGGGTCTTTAGAGGAAAGTCTTGTGTTAAGTGATAGGCTCCTAATACGAGACAGCGAGATTTCTGTCAAATTAATAGGCATCATCTGTTGGTTCCATCGTGAATTTATTGTTCCTGGAGTGAATGAAATCTGTTTAGGGGAAAATTGATTCTTAGATCGTGTAATAGTCGCGAAAAAAGATTTACCCTGCTCATAATAGAGGCTTTTCCTCTATTATTTCCAAAGTTAAGCTTTTTTTCTTATATTCCACATACCCGAAAACCCAATTAAACAAAGTAAACATTTGAGCTCTCGACGTAGAAAATATAAATTAATTTTAAAAATCAGGATCTCTCAAAAATAAACCTCTGCGCGTCGATTCGTATTGCAGAAAAATAGCGGGACGACTGAAGGGTTAAATGAAATGCGCGTCCTGCTCGAACTTTTATGAAATATCTACCGAATTAAACACGTCCCCGCTACAATATAGAAGGTAAATATTAATATTCAATAATGTTTTTATTTATACATATCCAGAATATTCCCTCTCGGTCTGCTCGATCTCATCTATATTATGGCTCGATATTTTCAATTCATACAGCAACGGCGCCGGCGCGCGGCAATTCCAGCGCTCTTATGTATGAAATTTATTATGCATCGAGGAGAGAACGGGGTGGAACGTTAGAAGACGCGTTGCGATTCGCAAGATGAAAGATATCGCGAACGCGCCGCGCCGCGGTGAGTCTCGTCGAGACAAAATATTCATAACGGTAGAATGAAATTCTGCCGGGTCGGGGGATCCCTCCATTCACGCTCCACTCCCGGGATACAATTCCGAGAATAACTTAGTTTCGTATCGGCCGCGGCTAAGTCAATTGCACTTTGGCAACTTGTATTCAATTATTCCATTTCAACCGGGAATGCGCTCACGACCTGATCTCGCGAGATTACAAAGGTTCGAGCTTAACGATTATTCGCGCGGAACGCCGCCGCCGCCGTTCCCTGCTACGTCTGTTTCCACTTGGCCGGCTCAATACCGGAAGAATCTACTATGTGTACACGACGGCAGCGTGGCATTACGCCGCCAGTTACGTTAAGGATCTATTTTGCTTAAACTTGGCAAATTATAAGAGTAATGGAGGTTTCACGTCGCATTGATTCGCGAATAGACGACGCGGCGTTGCGTCACCGTCGCCTGGCTGCGTCGAGTTATTCCTCTCGAGTTTCGCTATCATATTATAAAAATAACGCCAATTTCGCGCTACATCGAGCCGCGGATAGGCGTTGCGAGCGCGCTGCGAGCCCGTACAATTTCCTCATGCAAATACCGAATCTTGATCAACGCTGCGGAAGCGATTCGCAATATTGTTTTAACATCCGGAAGCTCCCTTAACGAACGTAACGCTGCAACGCTTGCTCGCGAGGATGTTTCTCGCGCTCTAATGAATCGCGCGCTAAATTAGAAACAATATTTGAGCGGCGAAAAAAAAATTTAATTTAATCCAATCCCGATTGCAAATACATTTCGGATTGTTCGGGATTGCATTTTCAGCTTTGCGGCAAACGCCCGACGATTTACATACGATTTACATAAAATGTAAACATCAACAAATTATTATACAGAATGCGGTAAAAAAAAATCGCCGCACAATCGGGGGAGGGTGTTGGCGAAAAATAATTTGCGACGCGCGAGATTTATATGGTACATATATAAAATTTTCTCGCGATTACATCGCGCGGTGGTCTGGCGCGTCACGCCACGATCTTCGCCCGTGTACGTTACACGTCTCATTATCGGACAATTAGGTGCCGAGTACTCATACCATCTTGTACGTATCATTTACCGCCGAGTCCCCGGCGTTCTGGCGATTAGGTTCGCATACGAAATGTAAGACGGGATCGCCGTCGAGCTAACAGACGAGCAGTCCGCGTAGAAGTGGCCCACGCCAAAGTACCGTTATCCGCACGTAAATTCAGTTATACGTACAAAGCTACTACCGCGAACCACAACGACCACGAGCGTAGGCAGAAATTGAGGGTATGAGAAGCGAACGGGAGGGAATGGGTGGCTCTACACGCGGGGATGAACCTGTGCTACGCCTCTCACAAGGAGAAGTAGCCACGTGACTCGCATACTATAGCAGAAATTTCATTTGTAGTCTGTTTCCCGTACACGAGTACAGTGGGTGCATACGTATATACCGATACCCATCTCTCATTTGGTCGATCGGTTGACATCGATCTTCGCCTGGTAAAAGGGACAGCGATGCTCGGCTGCGTTTAGACCCGGTGTCACTCAGCCTCAATCGTAGTTTAATTTACCTTCAATTTGCTTTCAATTTTGACTTTAAAAAGAAAACCACTATTGACTGTGATCTATGCGGTGTGATTTATGCTTTGCCTATTTTAATTTTGAAAACGAATAAACTACTACATTGGCTTCGATGGGCAGCTTTGCTTACAACTTCGATTTTGAAAAAGGTAAACTAGCGTTGGCTTTGATCGCGGTTTAATTTATGCCTTCCTTAATTTTGTTTTTGGAAAAAATTACGCTACCACAGTTTTTAATCGCAATTTACGTTTCTTGATTCTAATTTTGAAAAAGAACGAAAAGTTGACGTACTTCAATGTACTTGATTTCTAAATAATGAATCGCCAGTGATTAATTAACAATTAAGTTGAATAATTCGGCACAACTGGCTACAGGTAAATTTCCTTTATTGTAGCACAACGTTTCGGCCATGGGTTTGGGCCCTTTTCAAGTGTATTCTGCAGCATCTAGTCGGCGTATGGCATGTGGCCCACTGGACAGAAATGGGAACGTCAGGATAACTACTTATATGCTAAATATATCAGTAGGATTTAGTATTATATAAGTATTTAGAATATATAAGTAGAATATTTAAGCATATAAGTAATTATCCTGACGTTCTCATTTCTGTCCAGTGGGCCTAATGGCATTTGACCACATGCCATACGCCGACTAGATGCTGTAGAATACACTTGAAAAGGGCCAAAACCAATGGTTGAAACGTTGTGTTACAATAAAGAAAATTTTCCTGCAGCCAGTTGTGTCAGATTATTCAATCTAATCATTATTCAAAGTATCTCTATTTTTAGGTATCTTTAATTATGAATAGTACGGTAGACCCCCATGCAACACGGAATTCGTTTAACAACGGAAAATAATAATAAATATATATAATACAAAAATTGAAATAAAAACATTTTACCGTTATATCTTTAATATTTCCATTTTATGTTTTTTATAATAAATCGTCACATCTCCTATAAATATGTGTTTCCATATGCATACATAATTCATACGTGTATAACCCATGCGACTCGTATAACACGGAACACATCATCCGCGTTATACGAGAGGGGTCTGTATAGTAATTTTTTAAAAAACATCTATGTAATATTATTTATTTTATTTTCCGTTTCATTGCGCGATATTGTGTTCCTCGAGCCGTCGCGATTCGTACTCTATCTCTGAAGTAAAATATGTTTGAGCTACGTTGTACCCGCTGGAAGAGACTTATCGACGACGGCGTGGAACAAAATGTAAAATCACGAACCATGAATATCATTTGATTCTTCCGTCTTTTCTTCCTATTTATCCGATCAAAGCGACTGCGCCCATTCGTTCCGCGAGCACTTATCCCCTTTGTGTTCACAGTCGAGACGCGCCATCGCTCAAAAATGTTTCTTGCCCCCTTTGAAGGATTGGAATGCCGCCGCATCAAAGGTAAATTGAGTCCTTTTGCGACCTTCTGGTACTCCGGCTGGCTTTCCGCCGGAGAACGTTGCGCAATTATTCGCGTATCTCCGTAATGGAGCGGACAGGCCGAAGGAGATCGCGAGAGCAACAGATTCGAAGATCATCGCCCGATGGGTAACATCGTCCCGTTTATCGCAGAACCGTGAAAGCTCGAGGATCTCTGAGACGAATAACGTGACGCAGGAGAGTCTCTTGAAATATCCTGTCATGTACTCGAGGGAAAGGATCGTCACCGACGAAGCATCGCCGTTCCGAAAGAGTGAAATGTTCGAGAAAACAGTAAGTTTCGGTTTCTCTCTCCTTTTAAACGCGTCGTATAAAGACTCGTATTTAGAGACATTGCAATAATGTTATTTGCAGGAGAAAGAATTGGCGGATCGTTTTATGCGACAAGCTTTAATGCGTTAAATTACTTATTGGGACTGCTTTGTGAAAGAAAGTTAAGAAAAGACAGGGTAAAAGTCTCTCCAAATATACTTTTTCGATATTTGTTCTCGTGACTAATATATCACCATTCTAATTGTCTATTTTTACAACTGGTGATCGCGATTTGCTTTCCGATGATATCGATCGTAAATTCGTCTGTCATGCATGCCTTGTTTACTTATATCAAGTCTACTTTTTATCAAAGCCCATGTGCCAGTACATTGCTGATACTGTAAAATATTTTTAAGCGCTTTATTTCAAATACTTTCTTATACATTTCCATTTAAGTCAAATAGATTATATAAATCAATTTATTATTATTTTAAGCAAAATTTTTGCATTCCAAAAAGAATAAAATTATGTATTTATATTTTTTTTAAATAGATATTTATTAAAATAATTATATAGGATACTGATAAAGTCTTTCTTTTAAATATAAACTCACAAAACTGTATACGTACGGTTTTGTCTCTAACACTTATTCGTATGATCGTTCGAATCATTTGAATAAATCAAAGAAGAACACAGAACAGATGCCTTATTTCGCACAAGTAGCAGATATCATAAAAATGTAAGACACTTACCTTACTCTTTCTCCGCTGTTGCCCGATGCCTCCTGGGCCTCCTCCTCGTCCTCTCAGAATTCCTTGTGGCACTTACACAACACTCACTCGCGAAAATCATCGATCGCGCGAAATTTCGGACACTCCCGTACGCGATGTGAAATACCGCGAAACGCACGAAATATTATTAGCAAATATCGCGTGACTTTCTGTCATACAAATTACTCAAACTAACAACTTGCATTTTTGATTCGGAAGAACAGAATAATGGATAAATCACTTTTGGCGATATAAAACGCAACGCGAGCATCGGAAGCATAATCCGCGGTGAAGAAGTAATTATTAGTCCGCAACGAAACGATAACGGAAAAGTAATACCACGCACGGAGCGACTCTCGCGCACTGCTTGCCGGCTGGACGTTCGGCGAGCGACTAATAGCGCGGCGACCTTCACACACAATGGCACGCAAAAACATTGTACGTCACCGCGCCGAGAGAAAAACAACAACGAACGTTGAGAGTTCGTTGTCCCGCCTACGAAATTGAAAATTCTGTACTTGATATTTTACATTACTTTGTTCCGCGACTGTTACTACGTTTTGTGTATCAGTCTGCGGATTTATTGGTATTGATTAAATTAACGATTAATTCTGCTCAATCGAGAAAATGTTTTGTAACAAAAATCATTGTTACTTAAATTCTAATTATTAAGATTAGAGATCTCACCTTAATATTTTAATTTTGATGAAACAATATACGTAACTAACGTGTCAACTTCTTTAAGATAATAAAGTCTGTAAATGTAACAAACATATGTGCAAGAATATGCACTAAACATAGCTGTGATATATTCAACGTAGATCTGATAAATTATTATGAAATTTAAACTTAATAACGTAGGCGTTAATGATAATAATTCCATCTCACCACTTCGCAATAGTATGCAGTACCCCTAAAAATAAAATAAACTGTACCTACTAACAGGGAGACCGAGATATGTGGAGAATAGAGTTTATTTTACGATAAAGAAAACGGGAGAAAAAGTGTTTCTTTAATTGTACACAAAAAGTCACAAAAGCATATAAAACACAATTGACATAGCGTTAAGAATAATAATAATAAATAATAATCGGATATAATCATAAATAATAAAAGAGATCATAGAAAAGTCAATTAGAGTAATTTGTCTTAGAACAATGATACAAGAACTAAAAAAAAATAATTATTATTGATAGTAACAACTTATTTAATTGTCTCTGTCGCGACAAGCACATTGGTAGTATGTGCCATCTTTCGTCCTCATGATCTTCAAGGGAATGAAATGTTTAAGGAGGGTGGTTGCTGAAATAAAAATGATAAAAATAAATTCAAATTTATACAAAATATTTGTCTATGGGAATCTGTCCTCCATGCGAAAGTTCAAGACGATTGTCTGCATGGTTGTCGAATAATTAATTATTAAAGTTATACTATTGCATATGGCCAACATAGCAAAAGTATTACGATATCTGTAATTTAATTCTCGACAGCATGTTAAAAATGATAAGAATTTTATAAAAATAAGTGCAAATAATTCTAAACATATTTTCATATTCAAATACGTGTACGTACACGCGCGAGTACCTCGTTCTTCTCTTCGATGTGTCGATATAAAATGAGCAGTGTGCAAATTGTGATCGCGTTAAGTTTCTCACCGACTCTCTTGTACACAAGAGAGTCCGAGCATGTGTAGAAGCGGCTCAAAACTCGTTCTCGATTAACGCACAAGACGATTTTCTTTCTCCTCTTATTGATCTCAGAATATTCTTAAGCGGAGCTCGTTTAAGTTGGACAATCGAATGAGTCACATGTAGGTTTTCGTTGTTGAGTTTTCCTTTAGACCATAGCGTGGCATACTAGAAAACATTTTTATTTGGCATGTATTTCATCATATCATAAAAATTCAAACAGAAAGTAATAATAAACAGTAATGGGAGTAATATGAAGGACATACCTGGTGTTAGTGGTGATTATTTTGAGATGTTACACGTTTTACACTCCAATTTGAATCTCTTGATATGCATAGCCTGGAAAACTTCTACGAACAGGTGCGGATGGGAGTTTATCATAGACTTGAAACCTTCGGTGTGCACCACATCCACGCAACTATTCATGAAGTCTAGCGCCTTTGATTTCAGCTGATCGGAGCAATAGAGATCGGCTAAGATGAGAATATCGGCTACGTTCTCACAGGTTAAAGTGTTGTAAAGTACTTCCTCGCACAGTGCCTTCAGCCTTTTCAATTCGTACTTGTCTGCCGCGGCCAACAGATCGTTTGCCATCACATCCAGATTAACCACTTTACCGGTGTAGATAAATCGCAACATTTCTTTCAAAACTTTGGCGTCCACGTCGATGATGTCCACGTGATTTTTCTTACTCTCCTCCGTGTCGTGTTCGAACATTGCCGAGAAGACGGGACTTTGTGCTGCAAGAAGTACTTTATGCGCACGAAATTCTTTATCGTGGACAGCGAGTGTCACATCGCAAAATTTTTCGTTCTCGAACAGCAGTCCGAGATTGTCGATTATCTGGCACTCCGGTACTTGATATTGTTTTGCGATGCTTTGGCTGGAGATGTTTATTATGTCCGTCTTCATGGTGACCTCACACAATATCGTGAGTGTGTCATTTGGTAGCCGTATGATTGCCCGGTCCGAAAGAATTTCGTCTGCCTCAAGGAACTTTACGATATCCCATCGTTTATCAGTATTGTAAAATACGGAAAGTGTACTGCGTTCCGAGAATTTTAATTTTTTTTCGGCATCAACAATATAAATTTCGAAATTAACGTTAACGGGATTTAGACACTGAACCCAAACGATTCCCAGCGATACGTATTTTCGGTTATCTCGGCAAGTATACAGTTGCAGGTACCACTCCAACTTATATTTGTTGTACCCTGCTGAAAACGTGGGTGACTTGAGCTCATACCCGGGCTTCCCGCTGCAATAGCTGTAGTTCTTTATCGTCCACGTATTGCTCAACATAATCGTGTTCACTTGCGTATGACACCAGTCCTGTTTCACGAGAGTGTCTGTTTCACGGCGTTTCGTAGAAAAAGGCCGCGACATCTCACTCTAAGGCTGTCTTTCAAGAAGTGCACAGGTAGGATACCTAAGGAAGCTTGATAAAATGAGTTCAATAATTGACTCGGCGTAGCAAGTGTAATAACTGTCACGGTCACGACGGTCACGTAGCTTTCGTTTAACTATTAAGGCACGATTTCACGCAGCAAGTAAAAGCTGTCGAGCTGTCGTTTTACTCCCACTCCATCGCCACGCAAAACAGCGTGAAAAAGCTGTTTGCTATCGCCTCTATCCTTTTCATGGAGCGAATAAATGCCCATTCCATCACAACACAAAGCAGCGTTAAATCCCAGTCTACAATAGATGATTTAAGCCCCTAAGCCTTCAGAAATTGACCAATCACGGTCAAGTATGAGTAGAATACGCGACTATGATTAGTCAATTTCTTAGGCTTAGATCTCTATTGTAGTTGGGCACTAAAAAGCGACGATTGCTAAGTACATTACCTGATATAACCGTAACAAGTATAAAAATGGAGTTGGAATATTATAATCAATAAATCGAGTACGTAAAATATAGACATACAGTGGCGGTTATAGCTCAAATTAGAAGACGACGTATAGCTGCTGTAGTTCCTCATTGCTGTGATGTGTTTGTTGAAAAAAAAGAAATAAATATAAGAAAAGGGTAGCTCCGATTTTTAAAAATCGTAATGAATACACTTGAAATAAAGAAACAAATTATATTAGATATACAGAAGCCTTTTCTCACCAATTGTTAGAGTATAAACATTTATGAAAGAAAAATGTCACTTATAGTCGCTAGTGATGATTAAAAATTAAAGCAGTGAGCTTATTGTCAACCCAACTGGCGAATTTGATTGAATTCGTTACATATTTGCAGTATTGTTACTTGAAAAGGACTTGAAATAAGGTCGAAACGTTGTAATGAATTCAATAAAATTTGCTAGTTGGGTTGACAATAAGCTCACGGTTTTAATAAACATTTATATTTTAAAAAATTAATTTAACAGTAAATTATCTTGTAATATAGATTTTTTAACACTTTTACAACAACATAAAAATCATATTAACATTTCTTGCCTCTCTGGTTCTTTAGGATGCTAGGCGTTTCATTTGCAAAAACAAAATCTTAAAATAAAAAAATAATTTGTACAAGGTTCATTGTCCAAATATTACTTCTATAGGAGGAGGGAAGTGTAAACACATGGAAAATAAATATTTAGCTTAAATCTATACGAATACTAGTAGGTAATTACGATATCTCATAAATCCATTTCTTTGTTAAGAACGAGTTGCAATAGATTAAACATGAGACAAAAATGAAATTACGATTAAAATAAAATACTGCCATTTCAAAACTACGAAGCTATTGAGCACAATGTTTCATTTCTCGTAGAAAGAAAAATAGAAATGAGTTAATTTTATATTTTTTCTTAAGCATTTGTTCAATATTAAATATTCTTTAGTTATAAACTGGTACGAGAAAGTAAAATATCTATAATATTTCTTTAGTTCCTTATTCTTCTCATCTTAAATTAATACGTAAATAATATACCAACTCCGAAATGTAGATTATTAGTTCTCTGAAATAAGTGAAATATTTTATAATGATTCAACACATCACGAACAATTCTATATGTAAAAATGTTATTATTAATAACATAATAATTTGATCGTACTGTTTCATTTCCAAGAGCATTACCTCAACGAACAAGACACATTGTGTCCATTGACAGGAAGAACAGAACAGAGTTTATTACGCCAAAGGATAAGGATGAGTTTCTTTAGCCACAAACAAAGATATGTATAAAAATACTCGGGACATACATTGTGTAGCGTTAATAATAAGAATAATATAATAATCGTACATGTGTTCAGAAAGAGATAAAAAAGAACATAAAAAAAGAAGTAAAATACTTCGTGTTATAATAGTTGAGACGCAGTGGAACTAAAAAGACGTGGAAAATGATACTGTTATCAGTAGAAATATACAAAGCATTTAATTTGCTCCTATAACTAAAATGAACCATATTGGAATAGCTTGGGACGCGCTAAAACAAAAAAGATTATATCATCAAATGGCATCGAGTAGCATCATGAGACATCCATTGAATCTGTTTCATCTCCTGCTTCTTTTCTTTTAATCTTTCCAATCGGTGTAATCTGTCCGGCCAAAGCCCGCAAAACTTCTGTTGTCAGGTGCGGATGAGATTTCGCCATGGACTTGAAATCCTCGGTGTCCATCACATCCGTCGCATGTGTAATAATAAAGGCTATTGCCTGCGCTTTCAGGTGATCAGCGCTATATAAATCAGCTACTATGAGGACATCGGTCGCGGTTTCAAATTTCTAAAAAGTTCTTTCTCGCACAGTATCTTCAGACTTTCCAACCCGTACTTGTTCGCTACGGCTAATAGCTCGCCTTCCAAGTTGTCCAGATTTTCCACTTTACCAGTGTAAATATATTGCAACATTTTTTTCAGAACTTCAGGATTCAAATCGGTCATATCTACACAACTTTTCTTATTCTTCTCCGTGTCGTGTTCGAACATTGCCAAGAAGACGGGACTACGTGCTGCGAGAATTGCTTTGTGCGCCTGGAACTCTTTCCCGCAGGCAGTGAGCGTTACGTCGCAAAATTTTTGGTTCTCGAACAACAGCTCGAAGTCTTTGATCAATGAGTGCTTCGAGGCATTAAATTGTATCACATTGTTTTGGCAGGATATGTTTATAATGTCCGCCTTTATGCTAACCTCACAGAATATCGTGAGTTCATCATTTGACAGCAGTCCGTTAGCCGTATCCAGAATTTCATCTTTCTGAAGAAAATTTAGCCAGCCATAAGAAAAATCATCCTGGGTGAACTTGTAAATAGAGTCTTTAGAGTTTTTGATTTTTTCTCTTTTGCCATTAAGAATAGATAATTCTAATTTAGCGATTACTTCAGCTGTGTCGTGCGAATCGAGAACGAGGAACAGCGATATGCAGTCTCCTTCATCGTCGCCATCGAAGTACATTTCCAGGTGCCATTTGTCATCTACTCGTATTGAAAACGAGGATGACTTGATATTATCCTGGATCTCGCAACAAAAGCTGAAGTTATGTATCGTCCATGTGTAGTTGGACTTAATTACCTTTGCCCACGTGTGACACCAGTTCTCTTCCACGGAGGTGTTTATAATTTTTCGTACTGGCGAATTCGAAACGCGGTTCACTGCCATATTGCACGTTCAAGACCCGACGTTTCACTCTAAAGATATCACTCAAGAAGTCCACACGAAAGGCACCCAGAGCGTCCCAGAGGATGACTTGGTGAAATGAGCTTGGCTCGTTGTAATTAACACGCAGCTTTCGTCACACGCGACCAGAACATTGAACAGCCACGCAGGAACACGTTGTTTTTGTTTCGACGATGACGGTAGATAATGGGCCCAACCAATACAGCGGACGTGCGCCACCTACTATAGCACTCTCACAGCGATTTTACGACTCGCACTATCGAATCTCTTGCAACCATGCTTAGAAAAAAATTGATATATTACTAAATATGTTCAGTTAGAGAGTTATTTCTTTAGTTCAAATATTTTTAAGTTAAATTTATAATTTATCGAAAGGTTTTTGATTTAACAATTTATTTGACAACCATTGACCGCAGTATTTAGTTGACTATATATAAATCAATTTATTTTAAACCAAATTTTTTGCGTCCTAAAAATAAAATTACGTACTGAAATAATAAACAAAGAAATGCTTAAAAAGCTGTGAAAAATGTTACCGGTTATTCTTCCTAACATCGTGCAGTTTTAGTTTATTCATAAAACTTGAAAGGGAAAAATTGCATTTATTCATTTAGTCATCTTATTTTGTTATAAAGTAGAGATAAATTTTATTTAATTTTAAAACGTCGTAAAATAAAACATTGTCGTAACTTATCCAAATGTGGATTTCATAGTTTTGTAAAATAGATTACTTCTTGGAATGAATATTATTAATTTATTAAAATAGTTTCGCCTTAATAAATCTAGAAAAGTATAATATTATAACAATTATTTTTAATATCACATGTTTAAAAATATCACATGACGGTTAATTTCAAAATATTTAATGTATAAATAATTATTTTATACAGAG